TCTCCATTATTCCTCGATCGATAGTTCTTCCGTTAATGTAACATTTACCTATAGCGCCTAGGATCCTCGCCCGTCTAGTATCTTAGGTGTAATAAGGCGGGTCGTATAATATTAAAGTCTCTCGTCCTCTTAGTCTTAAGGTATATCCTACTCTCTTCGAAAGAGGGCATCTACTCGAATATTCTACTTCCCGGGGACGTACGTAATTATAAAGTTATACCTCGATAGGATGAGGGACTAACGTATTTATCTCTTAGTTAGTTTTCGTACGGTTATAAAGTATTCGAGGTTCTTATAGTTAGACCGGATCTCGAATTTCTCGACGCTTCGTAGTTCGGCGTCCCATTCCTCTAGGTATCGTATAATAGCGAGCATTTCCTTATCGTAAATCTCGTAGTTATACTCCGCTAGGTAGTTCTTCTTTAAGAAGAACGCGTAGGGGCGTACGACTCCTTCGTCGTTAACTTAGAAGAGCGTTCTCCCGATATACTATTTTAACGCGTCGACTTCTAGGATGATTTCTCTCTCGTAGTTAAAAAGGATTAAGATTAGAACCGTCGTAAATATCTTCTTTAGCCGTACGAAGACTTAGTCTACCTCCGCTGACTATTAGAACGTTATATCCTTTCGTACGAGAGTTATAATAGGGCGTACGATCTCGAAGAAGTCTCGTATGAACTTCCTATAGAAGTTCGTAAACTTAATAAAGCTCTATACTTCTTTCACTATTTTAGGGGCTTCCTAGTCGAGGATCGCCTTTACCTTCTCTAGATCTATTCGTACGCCTTTCTCTACTTTAATAATAAATCTAAGGTATTTCGTCGATTTAACCTCGAATTCGCATTTATCGATATCGATTCTCAGTCCCGCTTCGCGTAATCGCTATAGGACCTTTCGTACGTACTCTCGATGCTACGTAAGCGATCCGTACGAGTAGATTAAGATATCGTTAATGTAGGCCGAGTAGAAGACGTCGAGGTAATCGCGTAGTACTTAATTAATGTACTTCTAGAACGTACTAGGGGCATTCGCTAATCTAAAGGGTATAACGAGCTATTCGTATAGTCCGTATCGCGTACGGAATGCCGTTTTCTACTCGTCTCCTTTCGCGATGCGAATCTAGTAGAACGCTACGATAACATCGAGCTTCGTATACTACTTTACCCGTCCGATATTCCGTAGCGTCTCGTATATTAACGGTAGAGGGTAGCGGTCCTTCCTCGTAATCTTATTTAGGCCGCGGTAGTCTACGTAAAACCGTAGGCCTCCTTCTAGTTTCCGTACGAAGAGTACTAACGCTACCGCGGGTGAGTTACTTACTTAAATAAATCCTTTATCGAGTAACTCTATAAGCGTTTTTCGTAGTACGAGTAGCTCTTCCCTTAATATACTATATAACGGGCCCTAAGGTACTTTAGGAGCTTCTCCGTTATCCCGTACGAGGTCGATCGTATAGTCTACTTCCTTTCCTTAAAGTAGCGGAAGTTTATCCGCTATAGCCCTATTAAAGACGTTAAGGAAAGGATGTAAGTATTCCGGTAGCTTCGTACGGGGATTAGTTATCTTCTTAACTACGAGGGCTTTATCGATGTTAGCTATACTAGTAGCGAATACTTATATACTCTTCTACTTTCGTTATCGTTACGTTAGTAAGGAGAAAGCTATCGCGCTCACTAGGTTATAGTTAACCTTCCGGGGGGTCGCTTTATATTCGTTCTATATACGTAACCTCTATAGTCCTAAGTATAAGTAAGACTCCTTCGGGTAAAGTCGTACGTCGTTTCGTTTCATCTAAGGAATCCTGAGTATAATATCGTACGAGGCGAGGCTCGGGACGATGTATAGGAAGGCGGTTTCCTTATATCCGTTAATATCGATCTCTAGTTTAGCTACTTCGGAGATTAATGAGTTCGTTAATTCGTTAAATCCTATAATAGGTCGAGGGGATATCTATATACGCTAGAGGTTCTATCGGGAGGTAAAGCGAGAGTTAATAAGGCCGTACGATAAGTAGCTAGTATCTATAAGTATATTCGTAGAATACTCTCTATTTACTATTAAAGGCACTAAGAAAGGTAGCTTATCTATCGAACTTCGGAACCCTCGTAAGGCTTCCTAGATCTCCGTACGCTCCTAATAGCGGTTCTTACTAGGAGCTACTCGTTTTTTAGATCCTCTTCTCCTTCTTCCGCTGTAATAGCCGTAACTACTGTTCGTCCGGCTCGAGGACGTACCGCTAGGAGAAGGGAGCATTATCGTACGAAGTGTTCTCCTAATCCGCATCGAAGACAGCGTCCCGCTTCCTTTCGCTTATCTAATATCTCTTTCGAGACCTATTAAGTACGCTATATACGTACGATAGCGGCGGTAGTAGCGTCCGATGGTTCCTATTCCATCATGTCCTCCGCCGGGGCTACCTCGACCGATACCGACGAGTTCCTCGTCGTACGGGGCTTATCCCGTCCCTTCTTACGCTGAAGGTTCTCTAGGTTAGTACTAACGGTATGAAGTAACGTATAGTACTCCTTATAGGACCTTAGGATAGGGGTTACTATAATCGCATTCTGTAGTTCGTACGATAGGTAGTTAGCTAGGAAGGTCTTCTTAACCTAGTCGTCCTAGCTGAGGCCGCCAGCGTCTAGTATCGTACGGTCGAATTCGGCGAGGAACGTACTGAATGTCTTTATCCCTTACCGTATAAAGCTAAGTTTCCGCGATGCTCGCTTAGCGGCCTCGTGATCCTCGTACGCCGCTTATAGTTGAGAAAAAAGGCCTTAAACCGTCATCTAGTCTATCGAAATAACTACGTTTACCTAGGCGCTGACTTACGCGAGGGCTTCTCCTCGTAATCTACTGTATATATACTAAAATCGTACGATCTCAGTATCCTCGTACTTATCGACATTAAGCTTCGCCTTTACCTACGTAAGTTATAGTCGAAATTCCGTCCGTTTTCTACTAAACTTAGGGAGTTTAGGGAGTTTCCGATGTTTCTAGTCCGATGATTCGCGTACGGCTAATAGTTCCCGTACGTTACTATTCTCTCGTTATATCGACTCGGGAGTAGGGGTACTCCCGCCATTCTACTAGTTCTAGAGGAGATACTCTAGACCTTCCACTCGCTAGTTCTATTCTCGAATTAGGTTATATAACTACGCTACCTATTCCGGAGGTAGAGCTGGACCTAATATAGACGAAGAATCCATTTCCATTGTCGATGCGTACGGAGGTACGTAAAATGGGAGATTTATCCTAATATAAGGGTTTAGAAAGAGTTCTATAACTAGCTAGCTAACCTAGTAATAAGGAGGATAAATCTAAGGAGAGAGAAGGAGGAATAATGTCCTCTCCTTCTTTCCTTATATCGTACGCTCCTCCGTAAGGGATACTTAATGTCTTCCCCTTTCTCCCTTATCCTTCCTCTTTCGTATACGCCTTACGTTTCCCTTACCTTTTATCTCTCTTCCTTACCTTCCCTTACGTACGGTATCTTAGTTTACTAGGATTCGGTATCCCTTGTACGGTACGCGCCTCGTCTAATCAGGAGGCTACTTTTTACCTATACAATGTACAGGTAAATTCAGCTAATCAGGAGGTGACGTTAGTCCTGTCGTTAGTCTTAGCGCTGGTTCGTTAGAACCGAGCCTCCTTCTAGGTTCAACCCATCACAACATTCTCTCGTAACTAACTTATAATATCTACTTTACTATACTATTCTAAAGTTACTTAACTATTCATATCTTACGTATTCTTAACTTAGCTTATATAATAAAGGAACTATAACTAAGGAAGCTTAACTCCGTTAAGCTATATAGGAAGTAGCTCTAATAAAACCCTTCGAATCGCTATTAATAAGCGATGACTTGAGTAGTTACGCTACCTAGTTACATTACCTAGCTGAGCCACCTAAACACGTAATCTAGTCACATGACCTAGGTACTAAGCCTAATTAGGTAAGTAGCCTAGATCACTAGTGATATTCTACAGAAACTAAGAATATAGTACACAAACTATACATAAAGTGAGTAAGCGAGAACTACTGAATTATTTTATGAACGAAATTAACTATGAAGAGAGGAACTACCTTTAGAGGCTACCTATATAGTCCCGGCGAACTACATTAAGATATATTAGTATGTTTAATATATATCGATAGGTTAATATTATTAGGAACGGCCTATAGAGATAGGTAGAGGGTAGCGATAAGTATAGGTAGATATAGGTATTCCTTAATAGTATATATTAACTGAAACTTAAAGTATAAGGGAAGGAAGCTTCCCTTAGGCGGTGGGTATACGGTACTTAAATAATAAGGGGTTGTCATGTATAAGTTATACTTAGCGGTTCGTGATAAATATATATTTCCCTTAGCGTACTAATTATCTCAGATAAATCAGACCCTTACCTCATGTAGCCTAGCGGCTATTAGCGTAGACGCTAACCTTTTACGGAGTAAAAGGCCTTTACAGAAGGGTCTAAGTACGGATACGTATAAACAGCCGATCGTCGCGTTCGCGACTAAGTAAATGTATATAATTTCATCGCGTTTAGTTTATTTTCCTAATTTACTTAACTATAGTAATTTATCAGCGTAAAAAGTGTATATATAATACCTTAAGAATCTTTTAGCCTATAAGAAGTACTTTTTTCTCCATGAATCTAGATCTGCCAGAACACTATGCTTTGGGAAGTCTTTTTTTACCCTTTGTGCTATGAGATCCGGCCTCGTTCAAGGAATTTCAGGGGTACGTCGACCACGCGACTTCTCAGGAACTCCCCAATGCCTTTTCCTAGTCCGTCAATGCGCTCTGAGGAGGCGATGACGCCTGAGAGGTTGTCGAGGATTCGACTAGAAAAACCGAATTAGTTTTGAGATGCTCAAGGAAGGGGCTAATGTGGGGGGAGGCGGGTGATGATCGATGACGGTTAACTTACAAGTGAACGGCCTTGATGCTGGTGAACTCGACCCGCTTAACACGCCGAGACGTGTCGCCGTTGTACTAGTCGTCGCCGAGGAGAAGCTTGAGTCTCTCGACTGTCAAAAAGGTCTTGAGCCATTCGTATTCATCTTCATACTGGGAACGCGAGAAGAAGCCGATGTTTGAATTGTCAGCCTTGTCCCCGGACCGGGCGTGCATAATAGATCCCAGTAGCACTTTCCTTATCCGCCTAAAGCTCAGTAAGTCGACGGGGTTCGGCGTCTCGTATGACGGCCGGACCTGCGGATACTCTACCGTCTTCTGGGGAGGGGGGATGTCCATTAAGTCGCCCGAGTCGCCCAGCTCAACCTGCACTTTGATCGCCTCCTGGGGGACGATGGCTGGGAACATCTCCATGAACGGCTTCGGGTCCATGGTGCGGAAGTCCAGGTTCATATGGTAGCCTGGGTACGCCTGCATCCGGAGGGCGTAGATGGGGACCTTGAATTTCGCGGCGCTGATGTCCTCTATCTGTCGGGCTTGGACGAAGATGCGGAAGAAGACTGTGCCTACTTATTGGCTGACGGGGTCTTCGGGGGACGTACCGTATAGCTCGATACTGAGTTTGGTGAATTTATGGTCTTTAAACATAAAATCGAGCTGCTGTCGCATCATCTTCACTTTGGCGTCGATGTCGAGGCCGTTCATGTAGAAGTTCGCCTCCGCTTAGTACCCGCCCGGCGCTGTGAACATGATCTTAGTCGTTAGCGGTGGCGGGAGACCTTTGACGCCGGAAATGCGGACGCAGTCGCGGGATTTCTCTTCCACTGTGATGTGCGTGAGGTCGGCGACCACGTCAGGGTTCAGGTACAGGTGGCCTTAGAGCTCGTAGAGAATCTGCGCCCGCACGGTGTCTTCTGTGACACGACCGCCTCCGTCCGACAAGGTGGTCACGACGCATTCTCCTCGGCTGTTGATCTCTGCGATGGGAAAGGTCAGGTCTATCATGTCGTCCATGATCTCCTTAAACTCAGTGAAGTTCGCTCCGGTAACGTAGGGCCCGCATTCAGTGAGATGTCCGGCTATAAGAGCACCGGCTAGGGCATCATAGTCATCCTCAGACCATTAGAAGTGCCAGGCGGAAACTCCCATCAGCGGCGACGCATCTGTGCAGCGTCCGTAGACGACAATCTGTGCGCCCGAGTTGAGGGCTTGGATAATGCCTCGACATCTAATGTACGCGGCGCCGCAGACCGGCTTCAGCTCCCAGTCGTCCAGCTGCTTCTCTGCATGGTCGAGATGGCTGAATCCATTGCGGCCCTGGCCGAGCTGATTGACGATGTCCGGCATCGTCGCCCAGCACAGCCGCGATGGAGACATCATACCCTCTTGATCTGCAAAGCTTGCGCACCTCGCGTGCAAGAGACCTGGTGTTCAGCGCTCCCGCATTGGTGATCACCTTAAGACCCTGCGCTATAATGTCGTCCAGAGACTCTTCCAGCTGGTCGAGGAAGCCTCTCTCGTAGCCCAAGTCTAGATTCTGTTGTTTGATAATGGCATTCCACGCAATGTTCATTTCCGAGAGCCAGTCTCCAATTAACACATCGACATTCCCGTGTTTCACCATGCGCACCATGGCATGCGGGTTGTCCTCTGTCGTCGACGAGACGCTGCCGATTTGGAGGGTGGGTTTCGAGATCATGTTGGCAGTTTGTTGTTCGTAATTGTACGTGCTCTGTTCTTACAGACTCGGTCCTCTAGTCGTTCTCCTAGGCAAGGGAGCACTCTAGCTAGGAGAGTCAGGAAAATGCCCAAAGATTTTGAATGCAAAGTGCGTGAGAACGGATTCTGTCTCGCGGCTCTAGCACGACATACTGCACTATGCAGTACTTTTCTCTAGCGGCCGAGCGAAGCTTCGGGCAGACACATAGATCTGTGGGCAAGCTGGATCAAATCTATGGCCGTGGCATGTGGAATGCCAGCCAAACAGCCGGGGCGCGGATAGTTCTCCCTGGCCTCCGCCACAGCCAAATCCGGCCATGTCCAAGACCAACCCGCGCCCGTCCGCGCCAATCCGCGCAATGATGCTGATCCCGGAGAGTGGGGAGAAGATCCACTCCAGCTGAGGAGGCTCCGATGAAAAGGTCATCCCCGACGGCACTCCTCGGATATTCTGCTTCTGACCTCGACACTTGTTCTCCCCTAGTGGCGGAAGAAATACCGTGGGGATTGGTCTTCAAGTCGCACAAGTGACTCTCCGCGGCTGGGTCACGGCTGGTAAAATATGGTAAAAACAATACTCCAATGGATCATAGTCCAGGCCCTATCGTGAGTTCGTGACCCTGCCGAGAGCCGTGAATTCTCGGACACCGCGGCCTCCTTCATCACTTGCATCTAAACCAAGTCGAAGAGAACGCGGGATTCACTTACTGCTCGTCGAGCAAAGAGTCGATCCTTTTTTCAACTGCCACTGCTCTACCCCAGGACGAATACACGGAAGGCTTCAACAATCGCAGCAATCGAGCTAACGCACAGCATGCCTGCTGTAACCAATGCCCTCGCCAACCACATCGCAATCTCTGTCAGCGACGGAGAGGCTGCGGTGAAGTGGTATAAGGAGGTGCTCGGGCTTCGCGAGATTGTTCCATTACAAACTGTATCTGCGTCAGGTCCAGACAGGGGACCTACACTGAGGCAGAGTACGCCACACTTACATTGCAACCTGTTATCAAAAAGATCAAAAGAACTGACCGGACTAGTCTATGGCCCTGGGCTGGAAGAGATGAAGCTCGCCATCCTGTCGACAGGAAATGGCGTCGGGATCGAGATCTTTGAATTCACAAATCCGCCGTACAAGGGCCCAAGCGAGCCCGTGAAATTTGGCCCGGATGTCTATGCTAGAGGAGCGTTCTTCCACGTCTGTTTCACCGTGCCGGACGTAAAGGCGACGGCTGAGATCGCTGTTAAACTGGGTGGACGAATCTGTGGTGAGCCCTCACAGCCACTGAGTGGTATAGACGTTGTGTACCTGCAGGACCCTTGGGGAAATACTCTCGAATTCCTGCCCTTGGGTTGGGAGCAGCTCTGGCTGGAGTTCCTCTCCCGGGCTCTGCAAAAGCAAAAAGGGGCCGATGCTGAAGGATCTAAAATCCTCTGACAAAGCGACTAAAAGTTCCTGGCGTCGATCTTCGACATCTTAGTAATACATATAGAGATATATGGGTAGCCAGATTTCATGGGCATTCCTTGTTCGTGTTTGGATGAAGTAACAGCCTTTTTGAGCCTATAGTGGAGCGGCGCAGCTGCAGCGAAATCCAATAGTTCACTCACTGGTGAGGCAATTGCTTCCACGGGTTGATATATCGCCGTTCCATATCTATCATCTAGAGACCGCCATCTGCGTAACCAATGGAGTGCTGTGTTAGAATTGGCTCAAGCGATCGTATTTTAAGGCAAAACCACGTTCACGCTCTTAGACTCTGGATGTGGTCGACACGATCCTGACGGTTCAGCATTTAAGGCAGAAGGGTGCACCGGGCAACGGGAATCGTGGAGGACATGGAAGGGTAACGATTGTACTTGATGATTCTCACTATGTTTCTCTGCTAGGTTGTACGTTGCAAGGAATTTGTCGGAAGCGAAGCGCTGAAGAGCGAATTGGACATTTTGTTGAGCGCAGTTGCAACTACTAGCCAAAGAAGGAATAGCCTGCATCTGTGTCATGTGACAGCTTTTCCTCTGCGGTTTCTCAGACGTTTCAACACGGACTTGTCATTATTTTTTCTCTTGTCTCTATTGGATTACCATCTTCCTCCTGTATGACGATCTCTATTTCAGCATTTGTTGCTCGGCATTGACCCGGTACGTCTCACTGGTCCGCAAGAGTTGTTCATGCGTCCCCGACGCGACCAACCGCCCACCCTCGACGACCAAGATAACATTGGCCTTCAGCACCGTGTGCAGACGATGCGTGATGGCGAGGACGGTGATGCCGGACTTACGGATGACCGATTCTAGTCCCTCCTGCAATGCCAGCTCGGTTTGGGCGTCGAGCGCGCTGGTGCTCTCGTCAAGAATCAGCAGTCTCGGTCTGCGCACCAGGGCCCGCGCAATGGCCAGGCGCTGTCGCTGACCACCCGACAAATGCGTTCCGTTAGGACCACATTCCGTGTCGTAACCCTCGGGCAACGCTGAGATAGTATCGTGCAGATTTGCCAGTCGGCAAGCCTCTTCGATTTCCTCGTCGGTCGCATCCTGGCCCGGCTTGGTCCCGAGTCCGACATTGAACTTGATCGAGCCGCTAAACAGGGCATTTTCTTGAGGCACTATCGCAATGTCGTTGCGAAAGTCCCTGTGCGATACGCTGACACCATCAATCTCCACGCTCCCCGAGGTAGGGCGGTACATGTTTTGTAGGAGGTTGATGATGGTGGATTTGCCCGCTCCCGAGGGTCCGACCAAACCGCAAAAATGACCCGGTTGGATTTCGAAGGCGACATCCTCCAAGACTGTCGTGTCTGGGCTCGAAGGATATGAGAATGACACCGTGCGGAATTGTATGGCGGCACCTTGCGTTGAACGGGAAGGCTCCGTCCCTCCTACCGCCGCCGACTTTTCAATATCTCGGCTCGCAGAATCTACCTCTGAACTTTCATCACCACCTATCGACTCGTCCTTATCTGTCTCTGAGAAAATCAGACTCAGGATACGGGAGGCCGAGGCACGTGCCCGAGATATCTCGGGTGCGAGTGTGAACGCCTGTCCCCAAAGCTGGGCGCTAATCAACATGGCGACGAGAATGATGAAGAACTGCTTTTGCGTGTTCTCGCCTCTAATTACTTGGTGTGACCCCCACCAATATGCAAAAGCATACACAAAGAACGCGGTGCTGTTGGAGATGGCCAACCAGCCGTTGGTATAGATGCCTGCGATGACGATTTCTTTGCGCGGCGCAGATAGGGCCTGTCGGAAATTTTCAGAGACATCTTGTTCGAGGGAAAATGTGGCAATGGTGCTGAACAGGGTGACTGCCTCGGTCGAAATTCCCACTGCCTTTGTGAAGGCCTTCGAGTTTCTTTCCTCGAACTTTGAATGCGTGCGTAGCTGCATGATTCCAGTGCCGAGGAGGATTGGGACCATCGTCAAGCATACAACTGCAATTTTCCAGGCAATGATGTGACACATGACGATCGCGACCAGGAAATTGACCATGATGGAGAAGAGAGTGCCAACAGTCGAACCGCTGAACCCAGCAATGGCAGCACAGTCCTTGGTGATGACCGAGAGCAATTCTGACGCATCAGTGACTTTGGTTTGATGCCACTGGATGCTCTTCTCCAGTAATGAACGGAAAGAGAAGACTCTCAACGTATAGAGAAGACGCTCTGACACGACGGCGAAGGAGGACCAGCTGATGAAGTTGGCGAACAGTTCTACGCCGGCAACCATGAACAGCATGCCGCCGAAGAACTCTCCAAGGTACAGAATTCGCCGGATGGTAGCCGTGCAGGGTGTTAGCGAGCCCACCGCATGTCCAAAGATCAGACCTGCGGCGATAAATGTGAGTCCAACGATGACGGCAGCACTCATCGCCATTAGCAACCACCACAATTGGGGCCGTGTGTATCGACCCAGAGATCTGATCACCATCCATGGAGATAGTGTTGAGTCCATTACGGATGCAGCTGTCGTCGTCGGGCTCGTGGCCTGACCTGGTTGCAGAGCTTCGTTGGACTCTGGCGGGGACTTGTCATCACTTGACTTGGCCCATTTCTTTTCATCCTCTTTGAAACTGGCGAGCTTCTCCGTCGAAGTGTTGATCGAGTCACCCTGCATACTATCCCTCGAGCCTTCCCGCTCCGGATCGTCGTGGTCTGCGCTCGCCAGTGTCTGAGATTTCACCATGTCGGAGAAGATTCCAGGGCGAGAGAGGAGTTCTTCGTAGGTGCCTTGATCTACAACCTTGCCCTCATGAAGGACGATGATATTGTCGGCATTTTTGATTGTTGAAAGACGGTGTGCAATGGAAATGATGGTTCTGCTCCCGGCCAGCCTTTCAATGGCTTCCTGCACTCGTTGTTCACTCATCGAGTCTAGAGATGCAGTCGCCTCGTCAAGGATTAGAATGCGAGGGTCCCGAATGAGTGCTCGTGCGATGGCGACTCTCTGTCTTTGCCCGCCAGACAGCGATTGACCAATCGTTCCCACCACAGTGGCATAACCTTGCGGCAGCTTCCGGATGAAGGTGTGCGCATCTGCGAGTTCTGCAGCACGATGAACTAGACCCTCGACCTCAGGCATCATTGAGGCGCACTCATCAATGACATTTGGATCGCTGACTCCTTGAGACACGAATTTTGTGAGTTTCCCGCCCTTTAGAAGAGGCTTCAGTCTCTGGTGGGCCGCTACTTGGCTGTTGATCAGGCCCGACGATATATTTTCAAAGATCGACCGACTGAGCAGAGTGGGTTCTTGTTGCACCAAACTAGCCAGGCCTCGTACGCACTTGACATTCAGATCCGCGAGTTTCAGGCCGTCAATCAAGATTTCTCCCTGGCTGGGATCATAGAGACGGGTCAAAAGCGCAGCAATTGTCGATTTACCACTGCCCGAGGGCCCCACGATGGCCGTGTACTGTCCCGCAGGAAACTTCAAGTCAACTCCATGCAGGATTTTCTGTTCTGGACGGGACGGATAGGCAAAGGAGATGTTTCGAATCTCGACAGCTCCTGGTGTATCATGTGGCAAGATGCTTCCTCCCTCAGACGTGCCATCGACTGTCGCCTTGTGAGCGATCTCCCTTTTCAAGGTTTCATATGCTGCTGCTGCACTCCCAAATAGGGGCAGAAAGGGCGCCGTTGTACCCAGGATCACGCAAGCTAAATGGAAATTCACCTTAGAGACAACGTTTGTTAAGCTTTGAAGAGCAACTTACCATCGACAAGGATGAATACAACCGTATAGATCTGACCAACAGTCGAACCACCCCCTCTACCGGTAATAATACCTTCAATCAGGTCGACAATCATCCGACTCCCCTGCCAGAATGCCAGCGCATTCGCAGAGTAGGCAATGAAGTACAGGAATCCAGCTTGGAGAGCAGCAACTGCGCCTTTCTTGATGCCAAATGTGCGACTGACCTGCATTACTTGCGCATATTTCGCCTCCAGCCGTGCTCCAGCACCAAATGCTTTGACCACGGTGATATGTGACAGAGTTTCTGCCGCGATGTTGGAGGCGGCCGTGGCGGCATTGGTCATGAAGACGGAATATTTTTGGAAAAAAGCTCCACCGAGGAGAGCGACAAGAAGAAAAGCAGGGACCAGAGATATGAGCATGCCGGCCAATCTTGCTTCCCGGGTAAAGGCCACGACGTAGGCTGTGATGAAGAAGGAGAGACTGGCAATGACCATGCCCACCTTCTCACAAGTCCCCGATTGAACTGTCTGGATATCTCTATTGAGACGTGACGAGACCTCTCCAGCCTGGTGTTCATCGATGAAGGCCTGATCCTGGCGCAAAAGACTGAAAAAGTAGTCTTCGCGGAGACGGTGAGCTAGTCGCTGGCTGAAAATGTTCCAACTGACAAGGTGGACGAAGATCAAGACCAGGGCTCCGATAGAGATGTAGGTCAACTGCAAGACTTTGTCGTTGATGGATGACTCATAGGCACCGCTATCGCCCTCGCTATCGACTTCACATGCCGCACCGTTGATGTCGTCTACGAGCTGTCCAAAGAGAATGGCCATCAAAGGGAAAGGCACTCCTGAGGCAGCGGCACAGACGGCCCCGACGACCATGAGAGCGACATCCTTCCATGTTGCAGCGGCGTACGCAAGAAGTTGAAAGTATACCAGCAAGGGCTAGGTGGGTAAAGATATCAGCTCTGTGGGAAGCTGTATGGGAATGTTCCTGCTACTGACCGAACTGGCCCTTTCGGGCTTCTCGTCCTTCACCAGATTGCTGTCAGCCTCGTTGGGCTGCTCAACCTTTTTCTTGGCCCAAAATCGGACTGCCATGATGGGCGAGGCTGACAATATCTTGAACTACCTATACAGTGGTCATGTCTTCACTTCCGACATGAGATTCTTAAGCCACCTAGGGACTCTGTCAGAAGGTGGCATGTGACTTGGACATTTGTCCGATGCATCACAAATTCTGGTAGGTGTTGCGATTGCTCACCCACAGAGCTGTATGTCCATGCATCTCTCAGAAAAGTTTTCTTCTGGCCCGTTGTGGCGGTTTGACAAGATGACAAGAATTCTGCACAATTCTTTCCGATATCGGCTGTTCACGGGAGTCTTGGAACGTTTCTATGACCTGCAAACGAGAAGAATAGGTTGCACAGCCTTCGTGGGGACAGAAACAAGTAGTTGATGGACATCCTGTGCAAGGAGGTGTGGTCCCTGGAACTGGGGACTTCCATGAGATACAGAGAGGTAAGAAATATTGGTAATTACCACGTGGGTCTTGATACCAGCTGATACCACAGATTTCCCAAGGCCCCAAAACCTTGGCGCCCTCCACACCACTGTGGCGAGTCACAGGCTTGGGTGGTATCTTATCAGATGGCGCCATTACAAGCGGTCTTTTATCGGCCCGCTCAGTGGATATCGTCAAGACACTCGAGGGTCTTGTGGCTCTCCATCTCTCACTTTTGTTCACGCATCCCAAGCCTGAATTTGTGATGGATCATGGCGCCCTCCCTTGTGCTTTTATGCAATTCGCTGCTTGGCCGGTCTTGGGAAGCAGCATGGCCCGAAGTCGGTCGAAGGACTCCCCATGAGCGAATTTTCTCCCATACTCCCCCTTGGCCGGCCTTGGGCCTTTTCGCCTGGTATTGACGAGCTCGCCTATTGAGAATGTCCATGAACTCCGAGTCGGACAAAATTTGAACAACATCACGTGGGCCGATCATCCTGGTTCCCCCCTGTAGCTATGACAAGCTCTACATGTGTAAGTCTTGGATCGTTGAATTCAATCTCTGCCACAGTGCTATTGCTCGTCTCACCAGCAAGATGAATTCTTCGACAAGACACTCCGAGATACCCAGTCTACAGCCTAATGGCGGAATATTATCACCAACTATCGACCATTATGCGACCGAAAAGGGCACCGACCAAGAAGGTGTTCGGGAAGAGGAACGTCACGACCAAGAGGAGATAATTTCGAGAGACGCACAAGCCGGTGTCAAGAGAGTCCAAGCTACCGCGACGGTTTGGACGAAGAAGCACCTGTTCGCTGCTCATTTCTTGTAGGATTTATTTCCCCTCTCTCGACTATTGTTGAGGAGTCTGCTGATCGTGGCTAGTATCTGGCTCATCTACTTCGTCCTATCTCTACAGGAAGTGGTAGTGCGCTCACTGAATCCATATGTCACAAGTGCATTCTCCCTGCACTCCCTGACGGCGGCCACCAGTATCATGGCCAGCATCATTGGTGGTGTCGCAAGGATTCCCACTGCGAAGATTCTCGATACCTGGGGCCGTCCTCAGGGCATTGCACTGATGACCTTTATATGGACCATCGGATTCATTATGATGGCGGCATGCGACAGTGTACAAACATATGCTGCTGCCCAAGTCTTTGCCGTGACAGGGTACGTTGGGTACATCTGACAGTCACATTTTTTAAGCACTGACGTTCTCGCCAGCGCCCAGGGTGTCAGCTACTGTTTGACTGTTTTCATCTCCGACACATCCTCCCTCAAAAACCGTAGTCTCATGCTGGCGGTTGCCACCACGCCGTACATTGGAACCACCTGGCTAGGAGGGCCGGTCTCTGCGAGCATCGTCAGAGATTCTGGATGGAGATGGGGCTTCGGAATATTTGCCATCGTCGTCCCGTTTGCGGTTGCCCCCCTGATTATTCTCTTTCTATATCATCAGAAGAAAGCAGAAAAGGCCGGCATCATCGAGCCGGTCACCATCAACCTTAGGCCAGCCGCCCTCAAAAAGTACGCCATTGAGGTCGACTTGATCGGTATTCTGGTCCTGGCAAGTGGCATGTCACTCTTTCTGCTCCCTTTCAGCCTTTACTCGTTCCAGGAGGACCAATGGGCGTCGCCAATGATCATCTGCATGATCACCTTTGGAGGAGCCCTTCTCATTTTCTTTGGATTCTGGGAGAAATACTGGGCTCCCAAGACCTTCATTCCATTTGAGATCCTCTTGGACCGGACCGTGTTTGGAGCCGGGATGATGTTTGTCTTTGTCTTCTTCAACTCGATGGTCTGGGGCAGCTACTTCTTCTCCATGTTACAGGTTGTGTGGGCCCAAAGCATCCAAGACGCCACCTACATCAGTGCCATTTATCGCACGGGTTCTTGCCTGTTTGCCGTGCTCGTCGGATTCCTCGTGCGCTGGACAGGACGCTTCAAGTGGCTGGCGCTCTACTTTGCCATCCCGCTCATGATGCTCGGCGTTGGGCTGATGATTGAATTCCGTCGTCCGAACAGTGAGATCGGATACGTGATCATGACGCAGATCTTCGTCGCCGTGTCCGGAGGCACGATAGTGCTCTGTGGCGAAATGGCTATGATGGCCCCCTCCGACCAGCAGCATTTGGCCGCCATCATTGCCGTCCTCAATCTGTTTGGAAGCATCGGCACCGCCGCTGGAGGTACTGTTGCAACCGCTATCTGGACGAGCGTTTTCCCCGCCGCCCTCCGCAAATATCTGCCCCCTGAAGTGGACGCTGAACGTGTCTACTCGTCGATCATTGCGCAGCTCTACTACCGCCCCGGCACCCCGGCTCGGGTGGCCATCAGTCGCGCGTACGGTGATGCACAACGGTATATGCTCATCACGAGTCTAGCGCTGCTTGGTGGCGCGTTCATCGCGGTCGCCATGTGGCGGGATATCCGAGTCAAGGATAACAAGCAAGTGAAAGGCAACGTGGTCTAATGCCCGTGAGCAGGATATCAATATACACAGTGCAACAAAGAATAGCATAGTATACATGGAAGCGAGAGACGGCTATTTGTCCGTACGGGCAAGGCCATGCATAAAACAAGGAGCGAGCACCCAAAGGTGGTAGATGATTCCTTTCTGGAGAGAAAGGACCAGAACACATGATCTTTTGACGAGAAAAGCACAGAATGATCTATATAATGTTGGATGGAGTTAATCGCCCTCGATAGGTATTCATCCACTCGAATGATAAATGTAATTTGCATTTCCTATCGTTTCATAAATCATTGCAATCAAAGGTACGAGGGCTTTGCAGCTGTATGTACAATAGTGACCACGGACAGTGTGATCGTACGCTCCTTTGTCTCTCGCTAACAAAACGCCAGGTCAAGTAACAAATCGCCGACGACAACGTCGATGCCGGCGCTCTGCTCATCCTCGACGCCAAAGGCGACGAAAACCACGTCGTCCAGGTACCCGTGATAGGTCTGGTTTCCGGCCTTCCACGCCAACGACGTCACGTAGAGCATCTCGGTCTGGTTCCAGGGCGCTGTGGGTGGGATGGGGAGGTAATCCGGCCTCTTCTCGCCGGGGAGTCCGCGTCCATTGACCCAGAAGGGCTTCTTGGATATCGCGACGATCTGGAATGGCGGCGCGGGCGCAAAGAGGATCACGTACGGCTCGTACACGCTGTGGTACGCGTGGAAGCTCTTGTGCTGGAACACGCTCAGGATGAATGTGTTTCGCGCATCCGGCGTGCAGGTCCCGCGCGCGCAGAGGGTCACGGACAGCGAGTTCGTGGCCTGGTGGATGGACTCGAGCGTCTCGCCGATCCGGGGCATGTGTTTGGCGATGCACGCGGCGTCGGTCGCCTCGGCCGCCGGGGACAGGTTGGGCCCTACGCCGCCGTCGGGGAGGAGGCGCGCGAACGTCCGCTTCGGGTAGAGGTCGTGGTGCACGTATATCTGGCCCGCGAGGTCCCAGAACACGAACCAGTTCTTCTCGATCGGGTGGTATTCCGCGGGCTTCTGGAGGTCGACGGGGTCTGCGAAGGCCGCGGCCACCGGCGTGGCGCCCCAGCTGCTGACGAGCGGGCGGAAGTCCCGCAACCACTGTCCGAAGCAGGTGTAGAGCGAGTTGGAGCCGTAGACGGTGAACGGGGCGGATGGGCCGTAGAAGACGCGCGCGTCGTGAGGGCCCAGGTTGAACGCCAGGTGTGCCAGGTCGCCTTTGCAGTGCGGTCCGGAGGTGGCCTGGATGGGCAGCGCTGTGGGCTGGTCGACGCACCTGAGGGTGGCATTGTCGAAGACGGCGTTGCACGCGATCTCGTTGAAGACAAAGGGGTCCTGCGATGGCGACTGGAGCCGCTGGGCCACCACGATCCAGGTGTCGGCGAGCTGGGGATGGGGGATGATGTTTGGGTTGCAAGTCTCGTGGCCCCCGAAGTCGATCGCAAAGTATTTCTGCTCCGGCGTCGACACGGACGTCACGAGCCGATGGGACTTTTTCCGACGAGTCCCATCGGCGCCGGCGATCCCGATGAGCTTCGTTCGGGCATGCGAAGATGCGCTGTGGTCGGAGAGGTGGAAGAGGTCAAACTCTTCAGCGCCTCCGAGACCTTTCCACAGCACGACGAACACAATCAAGAAGGAGAGTGTGCCCGTGAGGAAAAAGACCCATTTGGAGCCTTTGACAAGCATGGTTGAGAGAAACCCGGGGTTCTGGCGTGCGTGAGATTGCAGGTCGACAGGGTAATTAAAACGTCGAGTTCAGAGATCTGAAGTTGCGAAGGTTTCAAGTCCGGAGCGTCCGCCTTCAATTCCGGAGTCATACGAGCCACGACGGACCGCCAAGGGACATATCCCCCCTCTTCCTAGCGAATAGTCAAAAATGAAGGACACGGAACTGTGATTTGGGAGTGGTAGAGTTTCTATCCTGATCCAATTTATTATATATTCGTGATTCTATCCCAGGTCGCCTCGGTACGTCTATTGAGTTAGAGCCATGCCCAACTGCTCAGTGCTCACTCTTCTGTGGCTTTTCGGTACATCCACTGAGAGAACTTAATACTGGGCTCGTCAAAGAGCACTGTCGCTATCTCTGCCAGCCAACACGTCAACGGCAATAGCACGAGATGAGGGACGATAAAGCTAAACTCCAACCCCAGGGGTCCAAACGAAGGCAGCGGACATCGATTGACCCAATTGGGGATCTGCGTCAGCTGCCATTCTTTCACCCATCCAGTCGCGGCGTAGAGTCTCTCGCCCATGATCCATAGCACCGGTCCGTGCACCAGATAGAACGCAAAAGAGATACGTCCGAGGTACTGGCAAAACCGATTCTCGAAGAACTGCTTGAGCCATGATATGCGTGGAACCGAGGCCACCGTAAACGTCGACGCCCAGAACAAGAAGAACCATTTGTAGTCAAACACCGCCTGTGGCACGAGCCACGTAAACCATGACCACACAGGAGAGTCTCTGAGAACCTGGATATCCCAGTGGTGAGAGGGACAGCCCCCCAGAACAACGCCCAGCACGAACATGCCGTAGAAGAGTTGCTGCTTGAACTTGCCCAGCCTCGACATCCACCCGGGGAGTTTGCCGTGCTCGGCCAGCTGATCCAGGTCACAGAGGAACATGCCCATGACAAACATGGCAAAGTGAGCGCCGTCGGCGATGTAGAGGAAGTACGCGGCTAACCCGACCTCTGCGCACAGACGACCGGTCACGGAGCAGCGCGAAAAGGCCAACAGGGCCGTATACACGCACAAGGACCCGCGCATCTCAAACGGGATCGACCAGAGGTGGAAGCTATAGCTGAACCAGGGCTCGCCACCCAGTCGAAAGACAAAGCTGAAGTTTTTGAACTCGCAGTACCACTTCCACATCTCGTCTCTCCACGTGCGCTCGGGGACGAAGTTCGCGTTGACGCCGAAGACGTGGGGCATCGAGGCGATGATCAGGGTCGAGCAGATCACAGGGATGTACAGCCTCGTCCAGCGCCGGAAGAGCGCCGACCCCAGGTTCTCCGACAGTTTGGTGAAGTCCCGGGCGTGGATCAGCGAGATGGGTTTGGCCGAGAGCACGTAGCCCGAGATGACGAAGAAGACCGAGACGGCGTAGTGTCCTCCCGTGAAGAAGGTCCGGATGATGGGGAGACAGGCCATGTAGTACTGGCCATTGTACCCGTACGCGTTTTCCATGATGAGGCCCGAATGCGCCCATACCTGGTGGTGGAGGAAGTAGACGAGCAAGGCCGCAAATCCGCGCAGCCCGTCGAGCCACGCCGTCTTCCTCAGTCGGCCGTTGCGAGCAAACGGCATGCTGGAGATGGATCGATATGTCGTCGAGGCCACCCATCGGAGCGTCTTCTGGGTCTTTGATCTCGTAGGGGAGGGAAATCCATCGCCGACGTCCTCCACGTCGTCCCAGCGGTCATTCTGCAATGCCTTTTCCTGCAGAAGAGACATCCTTCAAGTGAGGTGGTGGAGGGAGACGCAGGCGTGTTTGGAAGCGCGTGTTGAAGGGAGGAGAAAGACTGCTCTGGCATCGCAGCGAAAGGCCTCTTCGGCTATCAGGCCATTGGACCTGATTGATCAAGATTTGTGACCTGGGAATGCATATGCAGATGGCTGGGATCACGGACGGTAAGTCCTCCTGTATAGTATGGGAAGTTCTCCATGGCGTTTTCAAATGACCGATCCATTACACCCAGTACGATACCAGTGTTTTTCGTACATGTCCCTGCCTGTGACAGCGGAACTGTATCGTTGGGTGGGTTCGCAACCCTGGCACCGTTCACGTACATTAAGTGGGAGCGGCATGGAGCCTAGCGTATGCTAGTTTAGGCGAGGGTGGTCGACCGGGTGATTTGGAGTCGTCCCTATGCCGAAGTTCCCGCCAGGACACGCCAAGGAGGTTGAGCGCCAAGAGCCAAGCGAATCCGCTCCCTTATGATATCTTATCTTATCAGATCTCAGCTACTCGGATCAAATTCGCAGCCTCGAGCGCCTTAGCCGTGGATTCTCTCCCCCCATTACGGCGCGTCCAGCGAAAAAATTTCTCATCCTCCAGGTGAATCCCTCTCGCTTAATCCTCTGTCGTCTCTGCAGATGGCTTAAACTTTAATGTCGCTCTGCCATCCGTGCTCCGCTAGGACACGCCAAGGAGGTTGAGCGCCAAGAGCCAAGCGAATCCGCTCCCTTGTGATATCTTATCTTATCAGATCTCAGCTACTCGGATCAAATTCGCAGCCTCGAGCGCCTTAGCCGTGGATTCTCTCCCCCCATCACGGCGCGTCCAGCGAAAAAATTTCTCATCCTCCAGGTGAATCCCTCTCGCTTAATCCTCTGTCGTCTCTGCAGATGGCTTAAACTTTGATGTCGCTCTGCCATCCGCGCCCCGCCAATCTTCTCCCCCTCCATGGAGAACTTCTCGCTTACCACCCAATTGGTGACAGTCGGACATTTTGTTCCGAAACTAGACCACTATACTGTCTCCTAGCCACGCTGGGCAGCCAATGGCGTCATTGGCGAGCTCCGACGAATCCAAATCGAGTTCCAGACCTCAAAGCTCCCGTATCCTCGAAACATCAACCACACACGGCACGTTGTCCGCGTGGGAGCGGGCGCATGCGCATTCCAGAACAAGCCCCCCAGGGGCTGCTACATTCTGTTGGTCTCAGCAATGTCGAGATGAACGAGAATATGAAGGAACCATGCCGGTAGTCCAGCCACCCCTGGGGAGGAACGACATCCATCCCTCCCAAAAAAAAAACAGGCACCCCGGCGCCCGAATCCAGGTCCCCCTTCGAAAATGATCGCCACCGACATACCCAGCGGGCAGACCTGGTTTTCTCTGGCAAAGACCCAGTTCACCGATGTATCCGTTGCGGCGGACCAGCAAGTGTCGACCCAGGAGTTTCTCGACGCGTCAGAATGCATGACATCCATCTTCGACTTGATGGGATCGTCGCTGTTCAAGCCCATGAAGCAAGACTTGGTCTTCAACATCGGCCGAGTGCGCAAGCGGTATCAAGAGACACCCGAGGCCTCGTCGACGGTGCAGGCGCTGGTGGCTGCCGAACTGGCCTTGACGTCCCCTCATCCCGCGTGTGACGGACTGATCTGGCTCGTTCGTGGATTGGACTTCTTGTCCCAGGCGCTTCTGACGGATCTGGAGAACTTGGAGGAGGAAAATTGCTCCAAGGAATTGGCCGACGCGTTCAAGACGAGCTACGACATGACCCTCGGCCCGTACCATAATACCTTCATTCGACTCATCTTCAAGGCCGCCATGGGGGCGACCCCGAAGCGGAAGGACTTTTACCGTCGCCTCAGCGGCGAGGGTGTCAACATTGAGATCACCCAGGACAAACTAAACCAATACCTCGACGCTCAGAGAAAGGTGGTGACGATACTGAAAGAGTTTCTCACCAGCGATGCAGCTTCGGGCAAATGGGCCAAGGCAAAAGTATGATGACGCAGTTCTCAGTCCTTTCGAGGTTCTCTCATTACGGACTCGGAGGAGAATTCTAGAGATTCTTTGGCTTACTTGATCAAAATCGGATTTTTTTCTTTGTCTCATATTACGATCGTCCTTTTCATTTAATTCCTTCGGTTTCCTGTTTTTCAGCCATGGAGCCCCGATCCTTGCACCCTGGTGTCCAGTGAATATTACCGTTGTTCGTCCTCCAGAAGATCAGCCGGTTTTGAAATGTGGCAGGCAGGCCCGCGAAGTCCTCGTCCACGCCGCAGGTCCCAGAACGACGATCTATTCGAACGCCGGGTAGCCTTTAGCCCGCCATTCTTCAAAGCCCATGCCCTTCGCACAAGGTGGCATTCGGACCATCAGCGGCACGTCGATATCCTCCTCGGTCTGCGTCAACTCTTTGGAATGGATCACCTTTTCCTCGATCCTCTCGAACCCATATCGCGTATACAGCACCCAGGTCGAGGGCGACGCTTCGACGTAGATAGGGAGGTCGGCGGCCTCGGCCACCTTGATGCCCCAGTCGATCATTGCCGCGCCGGCCTTGAGACCTTGGAAACTCGGGGTGATGCCGATGACATGGACATCTATGGGTCGCGGCGGGAGGTTGGATTAGCGATTTGCTTTCACTCCTTAAACCATTCGGATTCCCCAAGTTCATCTCTGGGGAAACGAGGTACGGTAGACAAAAAGTTCTTACAGATATATTTGCGCCCGCCAAACAGCTTCTCTCGCATTTCCCACAACGGACGCGTGATGGCCTCTGCCCTCTCCCTCTCGGGGCCTTCGAGCCAGGGAATCCCCATCCACTGCCGCTCCTCGTCCGACCGCTCCTTCAAGAAGATATCCGCCAGGAGCATGCCAATGATCTCGCCCGTCTCCAGGTCGACCACCTTGCCCGTGTACTGGCTGTCGGATTTGTGCCACCAGTCCAGCGTCGCCTTGGTGTGCTCTTTCCGGAACTCGGGCGTGATGCCGCCTGGGAAGAGGACACCCAACATGATCTCGGCCATGGGCTCGTTCTTGAAGGCGGCAAAGTAGACATCGTAGACCTTCTCGATGTCTGGGATCAGGGCAGGTAAAAGAACGACCCCCATCTTTGTTCGGACCGGGGAAGATGTCAGAAATGCCACGTGGGTGTAAACAAAAACAAAAACAATGGCCGATGGACACTTCTAATAGAGCAAGGATTGTTTGTCTTTTTCAACTGATCTTTTCCCTAAAACGACGGGGGCAGATAGACGCAAAAACGGGAAGAGCTCTCAAAGACCAGACAGTCTTTGACCAAGAGTCCGATCGTCGGCCAGACGCGTGCAGGGATGCAAATGTCTTCTTTTCGCGACTCTGGATACACACCCTGCCCAGCAATCTTGGTTCTTGGATTCATGCATGCATTCTCCTTGTGCTTTGACTGATTCAACCATGTACTCTTTGTGCTCTGCTTCCGACATCGGTCCAAGGCGAGAGCTCAGCATGCCCAGCCTCCAGACTGGGAATTCGGCTTGGCTTTGCCAGGCGGAGTGGAGTCACGATTTCCCCTTCATCACAATTCACGCGTTCGAAGAAGACCTGTACGTAGGGGATTTGACAGTTGAGAATTGGATCCTGTTTTCCGTCTAAAAGCCGAAGTCCTTCGCCGGTTTGACTACGTACGAACACACGAACAGAAAGAACTTGGTACGTCCGGCCGGCGGTAAAGGCGAAAAGGCAGCTCAAGCTGATCCACCATGACATTTCCCAAAATACACCCGGGATCTCCTGAAGTAGCTAGGTTTCCTAGCAGTCGTTGAGCATACGTCATATGCAGAGCATCACAGAGTCAAGGCAAATTGCACATGCTACGATCGTGAATTGACCTTTGTTTTGCCTTGGTTGTGCTGCCTCGGTGTATTAATCGGTAGGTATATCGACTCCTTCGAACCCTAGGAGTTCAACTATGCGGAGGGCCTGTACAGCTGTGCCTACTGCCAGCACTGTTCGCCGCGCTGGCCTGTGGTGGTGGTGTTGTTGTTCCTGGGCCGAACATCTCTGGTGCCCCGGCCCGGATCTCTCCATTTTCCATCCAAGACCGCCAGCCGGTTGACATTATCCACCTTTCATCCGGTGGTGTTCGTTTCTCCGGACCCTGGCCGGGTACCTAGGACTGATCAGTTCTTCAAGGTTGACCCCGCCAGGTAACTCACCTCCCACAACGGGACATCAAGTGGACTGTAAACTGGACTCTTGGACTGCCAGGCATTGTTGGCCTCTTACTGCCGAGACAGGGTGGAGATGGTGCTGTGAGCCATCACATTTGCTTTTCTCGCTTCGCTAAACATGGTAGGAAATGGTGTGATACACCTCGAGGTTCGTCCTTTCTAACTACACGGCCTCAATGAATGTCACTCTACAAGGGTGAGAGTAACGGTTGTCCTCTCTCGGCCTCTTTCTGCTACCGGTGCGTTGTCATTTGGATAGAATGCATGGGTGGCATTAATGCTAAGCTGATATTCAAAATCTTGGTCCGCGTGCTTTTGGACGATCAAGCCCGATCAAGAGACAACAGGGGTTTGTCTTGTTCATTTTGCCTTCGTATCGTGGTGGGCCTGCGAGGCAACTCCGCCCGAGACCGAGCCCGTGTGTTGTTCTAATGCATGACCGGATACTGGCGGTAATACTGAAGTTTGTTGGTATTCAGTCTCGAATTTCGGCGAGCAATACAGAAACGCAATGATGAAATACCTTGAATGAAGAAATTTCGAAATGACAGCTTGCATACATAGCTGATCATTACGGCGATTAAGCACCAACGGCATAAATAGAGACAAAGAGGAGAGATTCCGATGGGTGTAGAAGACTGCACTCGCATTGGGTTGCCATGCCATCATTTTGGGGGTTGTGGATGAACCACATAAAGTAACTACCTATTACTGTGAAGATGCGACTGCGGATCGACGAGCCATTTCTTGTTTTGTACAAACCAATCCACCACGGCATACCGCTCTAATTTGGGATCAAGGTTCCTTGACCATGGGCACAATACATGTCGAAGTTGAGTTCCTCAGAGAGCAGCAATCAAGCCAGCAGCGACAGCGACAACCACGGGCAACCCGACGCCATTAGCCACGGCAGCGTTGTCAGTCTGCTGCGCAACCTCACTGGACGAAGTAGCCGCGGGTTCTTCTTCAGCAGAAGTCTCCGCTGCCGCAGAAGTGGTCGCAGCGGCACTGGTTTCGCTGGAAACGACGGTCTCACTGGAAACACTGCTCTCGCTGACCGTGGCCGAGGAGGCCGAGGAGGCTGTAGAGACGGCCGTCTCGGTGGGAGTGGCAGTGGCGGTGGCTGTCGCGGTGACAGAGCCAGAATCGGTGGAAGCGCTGCTGGGCAAGTGCAGCTCGACGCCGTTAGCAATGCACATGCTTTCGGCGAAGACAACGACCTCTGCACAGCACCACATGGTCAGCTAGAGTCTCAGAGAAGCAGGGTGAAAGGGGAGCTAGATGTGCGTACCGTCGGACTCGGCTGGAGTACAGAGCGTGGGAATCAGCTGCAAGAGGCTGTCGATGAACGCCTGGTTATTGCACATGCAGGCAATGTCCGTGAGCGGGCATCCTGAAGCACCGATGCCTTCAAGGAGGGGTTGTTGCTATCAACCACAACGTAGTTAGCTTCGACCCTTCTCAGGCAATTCCACGGGGTCAATGGGAGAGCTTGGAAAGGAGAGGAACAGCCATACAGCACATGCAGGCAAGGTGGTGATGTCCTGGGCCAACACGGGGGCGGCAATGGCAGCGAGGATGGCTGCAGCGACGGCGTATGTCTTCATGGTGATTTGAATGATCAAGCTCTTTATTAGATGGATCGAGAAACACACAAAGACAGAATCGTCAATTTAACAATGTGCGAAAACTTGGAAACAGATTCGATCAAACCAGGTACCAAAAGTGATCTGGAGCAAGAAAAAAAAAATGAATACACAAACGGACTCGACATGAGAGCGATGCCTTGATAAGTGGCCACGGACGGATCGAAGATCCCCCTGTAGTTACATTGTTCTAGTACTCAGCACCAGCACCAGCCCCGTCGGGCTGCTGGAGAAGAACATGCCAGTGTACCATGCTGTTTCCTCATCCACCAGCACTTAAAGCCGTCTAATGCCAAGGCGTGGCACCTGCTTGGCAGGTGGGAATTTGTGCGTATTTTTACCGGAGTTTCAGCGCCTCTCGGTCCTGTCATTTCAACCATCCAACCGACCCGGCTGGTACCAGTACGGCTTGGCACTCTGGGCATTACCTCCATGACCGTATTGTCACCTTTACTAGTACGAGACTCTCCAGCAATTGCCTTCTGCCAGAAAGTCTAATTCCACCACGCTTCAATGCATTTCCCACCCTCCTTCCAGCCCGATCCTTGCCCTCGTAGCCTTGCCTCCTCCGAGTCTCCCTAGCCACTAGATTCCGATTTCGGTCCTCCCGAGCAATACCGCCGCAGGAGGATGGTGTCTTCAGGCGAATCATACCATCCGAGAGATGTCGCGCACATCCCACTCAGTCAGAGCACGTAGCACCTGGCCATTCCAGAAAGCCCCGACCGCGAAGTTTCTCTAGGCCTTGGCATCCACCCAAGTGCTCTCTCCCTCATTTGGAAAGATGGACGGCCCAGGCCGAACCATTGTACTTGTGCCTGGATGGGCGGGTGGACTATTGCGACCGACTCGGAGGGCCTGGGTGAGGGTGGAGATGATGGAGACGATGGTGGCCGCATGCTGTCGAACATACTCTCAGAGGTGTGCAAAACGGCCATGTGGCACTGACAGACATCCCTCCAGACATGACATTGAGCAAGGTAAAGCATCGAGCGTTCTCCTCCGAAGTCGGGCCATATGAAAAATCGCTCACGAGTGTCTGGTCCTGGCCAAGACAGACAGATTCACGATGGAGTATCTCTAGAACCTGGACGCAGGCGTGGGGTGGGACCCAAACTCATCTTCTCGCCTCCATGTGCCGTCACCGCGTTCAACTCACATGTCGACATCGTCCACCCTCCATCGGAAGTGGGTAACTAGCCCTGGGTTGGGCATGAGCTCCGTGACATGGCTGGAGTCCAAATCGAGAAGCAGGTTGGTCACAACCTCAGGCTTGATCCATGGAGCAAAGGTGAGTATGTTAAGCCGAGTAGCTTTCTAGTCGCCCTCGGACTAGGAACTGGTGGCCATGGATGACCAATGAGACATGGTTTGGTCAAGGAAGAACTAACGCAGTGGCTTCCAGGAACTCTGGTGATAGGGCGTTTCGTTGATCGCCGCCTCCATTCCATGGACTGCCCCGATCATTTCACTACGGTACTGGATGACTAGGACTTGCTCACCCGGTGGACCACACAGATCACCTCACTTCCAGCTGATGGGTCTCAGCTCAAGAGCCGAAGCTTTTCACAGCTGTGAGCTACCTCGAGAGCTTTCTCGTCGTGGTGAGCCCTGCTTCTCAATCGGCCTCTTGTAGCTATCTGAATGGAGAGCTCGAAATTTTTTCGACAAGCTTGCTTTGCTCGAGCTCACATCTGAAAGAGCTAGGCAACTGCTGCATCTCTCGGACGCGACACCCCATCATCTCTTGAGTGTCTTATTGTCAATCTTCTTTACAACACCCGAGACCAACACTCTTCCCACCGCGACGACACTCTCGAAGCTGGCTTTCCTCACGCTTCGCATGTGGATCGCGCAATCATGAATCACGGCGTGCCCGTGCGCGTTCGACGAACGCTCATGAAGCTGTCGCAACGATTCTTACCCGTCTACATCTTCGTCTGCGGTCTGGTCATTTTACTCATCTCTCAAGTCACCTTTCGCGGACCGCAGCATGCAAACGCTGCAGAACTAGTCAGACGCGATGCGACGCCGGTGGTGACGTCGACGAAGCCAGGAGGATTTCCTCAGAAGATCTGGCAGTCTTGGAAAGTGGACGCATTGGACCTGGAAGGCAGAGATCTGTTCTGCGCGCGGTCTTGGATGGCCAAAAACCCCAACTATCGTTACGAGGTATTGACAGATAGCAACGACATCCAGTACCTCGAGACACACTTTGGACCGGGAGGACTCAATCGACCCGACATCATTGACGTATATCGATTATTAACGGCTAAGATCATTAAGGCCGACCTGTTGCGGTATCTGATCATGTACGTGGAAGGAGGCGTCTATGTTGACATTGATGTGGAGGCTCTCAAACCACTCGACAGATTTATTCCCGACAGCGACCAGTTCAAAGAGGACGACATCGATATGATTATCGGGGTTGAGATTGATCAACCCAAGTTCATCAAACACCCAATCCTGGGCTCGAAATGCAAATCGTTCTGCCAGTGGACATTTATTTGCAAGCCGAGACTGCCTGTCATGCTCCGCCTGGTTGAAAACATCATTGAATGGCTCCAAGACCTCTCTCAAAAGCAAGGAGTGAGCATTTCCGATCTGTCCCTTGGCTTCGACGATGTGATCAGTGGTACTGGACCCTCGGCCTTCACCGACGCAATTCTGGAGGAGATGTCGAGGCGTGAAAGCAGAAATATCACTTGGGATGTCTTCCACAATATCGACGAAGCGCGTCTCGTGGGCGGAGTGCTCGTGCTTACGGTCGAAGCATTCGCCGCAGGACAGGGACATTCGGATTCAGGCGACCACAATTCGAGACATGCATTGGTCAAGCACCACTACCATGCATCTGGATGGCCTACGGTGCACCAGAGATACAAACACCCGATGTATGACGAAGTGGAGTTGTGCAACTGGGATGTTGATTGTGTCCAGCTCTGGGATTTCAGCACCGCTTTGTTTGATTCTCTGCCACCCGAAGAGCAGGCACGACAGCTTGCAGAGAAGATGGGACAGGGCAGTGGTGCCGATAATGCAGCTCCAGCGCCTGCGCCTGTCCTGGATCTCCCTCCTCCCCCTCCGCCAGAGGAGTTGAATGTTCAATTTGTGCGTCGTTGGGAGCCGGCGCCCACGATCGTCGTTGCCACCGCCGTCAGTGCCGTCAATGCCATCCTCAGTCCCTCGATACAGGTGAATGCCGCACCGGTCAGCATTGTCCAGCGAATTGGCCCCGTCTCAGTAGAGCCGGTGACGACGCACGGGAATGTGCAGGCCAGTATGGCGACCGTCTATGTGAAGGCAACAGCGATACCCAACTAGGTTGATGAACACGAGCACAAGTACTGACCTTGGGGTGGCCGGGCTACAACTGAGGATTTGTTTCGGTCGGAGTAATGATTGCATGAATTTGGCAGGTTTACTGATATCGCCGCGGCGGCATCCACACGATCCTTGAGTTGCCTGTAAATACGGGGAATCTATGCGAAGAAGACTCAGATATAATTCCAATTACACATTAGAAAAGACATTTCGAAGCTCGTTCCCTAGTAATCATATGTCCGTTCAGAAAGGGATCTGAATGAGGAGAGCTATGTGTGTGCTTTGCGTTGGCGGATCCGTGAGGCAGGATTGGCCATTTGCGGAGTTCGAGTGAACAATTGACCATCCAGCATTGCTTTGTTGTGCTTTGCTGTGCTGTACCTGCAGGAGGAGAGCACGCGCATCGTACCAGCAAGGTGGGAGAGTACCTGATGCTCCATCCAACATGCCACATGCCACAAAATCTGCCAGCTCGAATCCATCGCTCTTCGGCGACTGGAAGACCGGCTTCGGCCCGCGAGTGTCACAGAGCGTGTGGCTGAGGGTATCCCTGCTCGACCATCGTGATCCCTCGACGACAGAAGCTCCTACTCGGACGATCCCGGACTGGACAGTACTGGACAACCAGCTCGTTGAATCTGTGCCTGCCAAGCTGACTGGGATCCGCGAGGTTCATCATGCGTCCAGGTTGCATTTTCCCCCCAAGACAACCGGGTGCGAGTGAACATCCGAGCCGACCACAGTCGAACGAGAGGTGGCGATATTTTTGGCATGATAGATGGGGTGTCGATATGGACAAGGACCGGGACTGGAGAGGCCAACGAGAGCAAGGGCAAGGGCAGGAGCAAACTCGTCAATCACCGCTTGTAAGCGAGCGATACGGAGCTCGCGTGAGGGGCGGGCGAGGGAATGAGGCAATAGACGCAGCTCGTCACAAGCTCTCTCCCTCTAGAATTCATCAGTATGGAGGCATAGGTATAGGCAGGGTCCCAGACTCACATCACTAGTTGTTCTTGGCCCATGGCGACAGTACGGCGGCGGGACTGGGTGGGGATGTGTCGTTGGGATGCAGTACAAGGATCATTGGGGGAGGAGAGAAGCAATGCGATGGCTGGTGGGGGGTAAGATAAGATAGAAATCGAATGGATGCATCGATGTTCAACCACTCTCGCCTACCTAGTACCCAGGTGGGTATACGGGGCAGGGTAGTAAAATACCACTATGTAATTTACATGAGACAGGACAAGACGCCAGTACGAATACTTCGTACCAGGTAAGGTAGTTGCTCTGCCCATCCGCCCTCCACTGCAGAGCCCGCACAGTCCGTCGTAGCTCCACGCCCGTCTTGTAGCTTTTAGTCATGAAGAAAATGATGTGCAGTGGGTGAGCAGTTGTAGTGTTCGTGTGTAATTACCACGTAATTGACCCGTAAAATGACAAGAGGCCCACACTAGTAGATGTCGCCAATGTTCGGTCTCCTAGCCGTCGTAATACGTGGTACTGTATTGACAAAAAAATGCCACCTCCGTCATGGACTCGCACTGAAAATACACACAGAGAGACCCGCGCCCATTCTTGGGAGCCTCTGTAGGTCGACATTCGACTCACACTAATTCATCCTCGCCTCTTGGACGCACAGCCCTGCTCTGGGCATCACCTTCTGGTCCCAGATTGCCAGGATCAAGACTCCAGACAGGTTGTTCTCCATCGCGGCACGCCGACCCAACTTGACTGCCAAACGCCAAACGCCCAAACCGAAGAATCGCCACAGTCGAAACCCCTCTACCCACTCAAGAAGAGAGCTGGAGCTCGTGGCACACACACACCCCTCAGTCTAATGGCCCGGACAGCCGCAGCAAGAATGTCTCGGGGAAGAGCAGATGGGTCGTAGAGCGGAGGAAAAAAATTGCATAGATAGCATGCAGAAGATGCCAGGTCGTACACGATAGCATCTTTTCCTCTGGGACCTTGTTGCGTCGAAGAGATGTCGACTTCATCACAGTCATCCCAGTCCCTCCCGCCCGTGAGACTGCCTGAGCCATGGAAAACCAGCTACGAAATCCAGCAGACTGTGTCCCCGGACTTTCACGGCGATCCAACCTTCAAGCTCGTGTTGTCAGAAACACAGCTCCCCGACTCCCAGCCACCGCCGGAGCCTCTTCATCATGATGGCCTCACGTACTCAGATACCTTCGTCGTGCGGTCTGGGTCAGAGCCAACGGAGGCAGGTGACAACTCTCCTTGGGCGCGATTTCACGCCAGCGCCATCTCGTATGTCTCGTGGACAACACGTGCACAACCACCGACCGTGGGTCAGATCTGGCTGTTGATCCACGCCCTGCTTACTCAACACCCTGATCACGAGAGGTTCCGGCTCCAGCTCACGGGGAACGGCCACGCACAGCTCTCGCAAGAGCTATTGGCGACCGGGATTGCCACACCAAGTCCTAAGCCCTCAAGGCCTGGCCATGAGCACCCGACCACGCCGTCGACCGGCACCGTCACCGTCGCCGTCACGACGACGCAAGTCTCAGTCTCCCGATCTGCATTCTGGCAGGGCGCCGCGTCGCCCTTTGGCACCCGGCCGGTCTGGGTATCGCACCCAGCGCTGTACTCGCAATTCTCCAAGCCGGTCACATCAGCCTACCCAGCCTTCCCGCTCGAACACACCGTCACCTTCACCCTGGACCCGCGGCCCGTCCACGCACAGCATCCCATCCGGCCGCCCAAGCCTACCCGCGGCGCCGTGATCTACAGCCGCTACGTGCCGGACCTGGACGAGTTCTTCGCCATGGACCACCTGGACTGGCGCGACGACGCGCACCTGGCGCTCTTCCACAAGTGGCAGAACGACCCGCGCGTGTCGCAGGGCTGGAACGAGACGGGCACGCTCGAGCAACACCGCGAATACCTGCGCAAGATGGACGAGGATCCGCATCAGATGGCCGTCTTGGCGCGCTTCAACGACGTCTACTTTGCGTATTTTGAGATCTACTGGGCAAAGGTACGGCTCTCATCCCTCACGCTCCCCCCCTTTTTAGCCATGCACAAAACGGGATGTCGTCGGAGAGACATCAGAAGAAGAAGTTGACCAACTGACAACGCCCACCGCGGTTTCCAGGAAGATCATATGGGCGTCTACATCTCCCCGGCGCCTGGCGACTTTGACCGCGGCCGCCACTCGCTGGTCGGCGACGTGCAGTACCGCGGACCCCACCGCGCCTCGGTCTGGTGGACCAGCCTCATCCACTACCTGTTCCTGGACGACCCGCGCACCGTGACCATCGTCGGCGAGCCCAAGTTCACCAACGCCAACGTGCTCCGGTACGACATGGCCAACGGCTTCCACCTGCACAAACTAGCGGATCTGCCGCACAAGAGGTCCGCCATCGTCAGGTGCGAGAGGGTGCGCTTCTTCCAGGTGGCCGACTTTGCCTCGACTGGTGCCGGGTCCAATGCGATCGCTGGGGCGAGGGGTGAGAAGGGCACGTCGAGTGCGGGGGTCAAGGGAGCCTCTCCCAGTACTAAGAAGGCAAAGTTGTGAATAATAAATACTTAGTAATTCTGTATGTTCAGAGAGGGATGTATTGTCCAGAAAACAAGGACGGTAAACGAATGCTCAGTCAAGAGGCAGCCGTTGAATCCGCACGGCATCAGATTGGAGATTCTTCCAATGTTACTTACCTCTACCAACATCACCCGCTATGCAAGATGTTTTTACTGCTACAAGATGTCTTTTCTACTGCGTTGTGAGTAGCCACGGCTCAGGAACAGGCCAGTCACGCACTACCCTCCAACCAACTCGCTCTTCATCGACGACAATTCATCCGGATTCGCGGGGTCCCACGCGACCAATGCTCCGAGTCGGAGCAGATCAAGCGGCCGAATTTTCCCCCAGCCATCCTGGTCCTTTGACGGGGACGGGATGGCAAGTTTGTTCGACATGAGGCATTTTTGAGGGGAGCATCTCGACCTCAGTCGCAGTAGCTGTATTGTATGGGCCAGTGTCATTTGGACCGTGGGTGAGTCCGCGGTCCATACCCTCGTCCGTTTTCCTTTGGTGATTGGCGAGCGGCGGGTAGCGGTTCTAGAGATCGGGAGACAACTAGAATGAGGCAAACAGAGAATGAAAGTAAATGTAGTACGACGTGAAAATGTGACAGGGATCCGGGACCCGGTGTACTGAGATATGCATGAGATACAGTACGCGACGGTACGAGTATTTCTTTAGACCCTCCGGTGGGTCTCGCTCGGGTTGAGAGGCGTGAGGAGAAGCACAAATGCATAGTGGAGAGTTTGATGCATGGCTCGGCAGACATGCGAGGGGGAGGGGAGAAAAAAAAGCAGCATACCAAGATTTCAAGACTCCAAGGCTTTTCAACCATCCAAGAATACAAGAACCGCCGGCCAAAGCGTCCTGTGTGGATGGTGTGGATATCTCAGGACATCACGACCATATTCACTGCCACCCTCCGTTATCGCTCGAGAGGCCGAGAGAGAGAGGGGCAGAGAGACATGCCACACGCTCGTGAAGCGCTTGTAGATTCTCAACGAACTCGCAAACGTCTTTGGCTTCGGAGCGATTTCCTAAGACAGATCAGTCTCTCCGCGCATCCCACGCGCAAGCGATCGTTCTCCGATACGCAGGTTCTGTAAAGACGCGCCATTTTTCACGAGAGCGGGAGCTTCAGTACCATGCAGACCCAGGCACATGATTGGCATCGTTCGTCCATTCGCTCGTCGGGTGGAGTTCGAGTAAAGGTTTTGTGACTTTGGGGTTCATGGGAACCAAGTCCTTACCGTCATGCTAATGCGCATTGTGCCTTGCTTTGTTTCACGGCGGGGGCCAAGAGCATAACAGATACCAAAAAAAAATTCGATCGATCGATCGACCAAGGAGAATCGCTTCTGTTCCGGCTGCCCATGTGATCAAGGAAATGAATCCCTGGGGCTAAATAAAACTCCAAGCAACAGACCGTATCGACGTAGTGTGCGAGCACGACGGGAACCCAAGAGGTCGGCAGCGATGATTGAGGTCTTTATCGAGCGGCATGTGTTGCCCAACTTTCCCAAGGGTGAAATCCTCGTCGACAAGGTCGGGTCGTTCGGGTCGTTGAATGGAGATGCCGCTGCCGTATCGGTGCCGTGGGCGAATGCGCAATCTTTCGACATCCCCGGCCTGGCATCGAAGTCGACAGACCAGCAACTTAATCTGCTATTGCTCGCGTTCGCTTTGGTCCTTCATAGAGGGAGTATCAACGATGAAGGGGATTCGTTCTCCTGGGGCCTCTTCGAGCCCTCGTACGCCGCACCCTCGCTATCGATACTTTCTGAAACGACCAAACTCAGTGACATCCTCGAAGATGAGTTGGAAAGTGTCGCAAAGATCCTAAAAAGATTGTCAAATGTCCGCAAAAGATTCGAAAATTATCCACCTGCATCCAGGTCCATTCTGTCCATGGAGGCGGAGGGTAGACCCGTATACAGAGACCGATCGGTGAGTTTTGAGTTCGCGGCTTTCCTGGGGTATGTGCTGACAAGTTCATCTTGTGTAGGCGCCCCTTTTCCGTGTAGACACCTGGGTCCATGAACACCGTCTCTTTGTTTGGCCGTCCCATGAAGCCTACCTGTCAGGAACGGACATGGCCAAATTTCAGATCGCCGCATTCGTGGACATGCTGGACACCATCTCTTCGAACCAGGAGCAGACGGTGGGCGCAGCCTTGCAGATGGGCAAGCGTGAGCTGGCCTTGCTGTGGGGATGGAACAAGACAGTTCCGCCCGTCATCAACCGTTGTATGCATGATATCATTGCAGAGAAGATGATCGAGCACCCAAACAAACCGGCCGTGCGCTCGTGGGATGGCGAAGCAACATACGGTCAACTCGATCGACTTTCGGCTTTCCTCGCCGCACGACTGTCTGCGCTGGGCGTCAAACCGGGATCGGTGGTGATTCTGTGCTTTGAAAAGTCCATGTGGACCAGTGTCGCCCTGCTCGCCGTCATGAGAGCTGGAGGGGCATTCGTACTCACCGATCCATCCCAGCCCGAGGCACGCCTGGCAACCATAGCAGCCGAAGTCGAGGCTAGGGTGGTGATCACCTCTCGACAACAGGCTGGACTCGGAGGTCGAATCGCACCAAATGCCGAAGTCGTGGTTGCTGATGAAGAGCTTTGGAAGTCAAGTCTATATGTCCCACAATACACCCCGATCGCTGTACCGCCGGCGTCACTCCTGTACATCATCTTCACCTCCGGGAGTACAGGGAAGCCAAAGGCCATTCCCATATCCCATCAGAACTTCACATCCGGAGCGATTCCCAGAGGAGACGCCGTGGGATATAGGGCGCATTCTCGAGTGCTCGATTTCCCATCGTATGCATTCGACGTGAGTATTGACTGCATGCTGTGCACGCTTTGCGCGGGTGGTTGCATCTGTGTGCCTTCTGAAGAGCAGCGAGTCAACGATCTCAGCGGCGTCATCAAGTCCTTGGACGTAAACATGGCGCACATGACTCCCTCAGTGGCAAGACTGTTGTCCCGAGATGCAATGGCATCGTTGGAAGTTCTAGGCCTGGGTGGAGAGTCGCTGTCCTCTTCGGATGCTGCCATCTGGAGTCAGATCACCAAGCTCATCATTGCCTATGGCCCGTCGGAATGCACTGTTGGGTGCACCATCAACAACACCGTCCACACGGACCGGCTTTGTACCAGTATTGGGAAGGGGGTGGGAGGTGTTACGTGGCTCGTCGACCCGAATGATCACAACCTGCTCACTCCAGTAGGCGGCATCGGCGAGTTGCTGATTGAAGGTGCTATCGTTGGTGCTGGCTACCTCAATGAACCAGAGAAGACTGCCGAAGTCTTCATCCAAGATCCAACCTGGTTACTGGCCGGTTCGAAAGAAGCTCCAGGAAGACACGGCCGGTTTTATAAAACGGGAGACCTTGTCAAGTATGACCCCGACGGTTCTGGAGCGATTGTCTTCGTGGGCAGGAAAGACAGGCAGGTCAAACTACGAGGCCAAAGAGTGGAATTGACCGAGATCGAACATCACCTGTTAACCAAACTGGAAGAGGGCACTCAGGTCGCTGCAGAGGTCATCACCCCAGGGAGCAAAGACCGTGAGCCAACGCTCGTGGCCTTCATCTCGGAAATGAAGGACAACCAAGTTCCAGTCAATGGCGGTGTGGCATTTTCAGCAGAGCTCCGGAGATCGCTCGGAGACATCGACCAATATCTGGCAGAGGTTCTTCCCAGCTACATGGTGCCAACAGCGTATATCCCCTTAGCGGCCATGCCGCTGCTCGTCTCCTGCAAGGTCGACCGCAAACGAATCCAGGAAATCGGGCTCTCAATCACGCCGCAACAGCTGGCTGCGCTTCGAGCCAAAGTCACAGACAACCACGAACCCCAGACGGAGAGGGAGGTCGTGCTGCAGAGAATATGGGCACAATTGCTTGGAGAAGGCCTTGAAATCGGAACAAGCGATAGCTTCTTCAGGCTGGGCGGAGATTCCTTGAAGGCGATGAAACTGGTGGCTGCTGCTCAAGCGGAAGGTCTGTGGCTCACGGTGGCAGATATATTTGCTCATCCAACGCTTGCAAGTATGGCTTCAAGTGCGGGATCTGTTAACCATGAAGTCAAAGCTGAAATTGCTCCGTTTTCACTGCTCGGGACCGAGTGGGGAATTCAAAACGCTCGCCTCGAGGTCGCCAATCTCTGTCAGCTAGCTCCATCCGACATTGAAGACGTGTATCCCTGTACGTCCCTGCAAGAAGGGCTGATGGCTCTGTCTGCAAAGAACGAGGATGCTTATGTCGCACAACGAGTGCTCGATCTTCCCAGTCTCATCATCGCTGAACAATTGAAAGCTGCATTCGACACAGTGGCTGGATCCTCCCCGATATTAAGAACGCGGATCGTGCAAGTACCCGGCCGTGGGCTGATGCAGGTCGTGGTGGGAGGAGAGCTTCAGTGGAGCAGAAGCCGCCATCTGGACGAATACCTGGCTCGCGATCGAGAGGAGTCGATGGGTCTGGGGGACAAGCTGGCCAGATTTGCCATCGTCAGCAACGGTGACCAGGGAAGGGCACATTTGGTGTTGACGATACACCATGCTCTGTACGATGGGTGGTCGATGCCGCTGATTGTTCACCGAGTGAACGAAGTGTTCCAGGGCCGCGAGGCCGTGCCCCCGACTCCGTTTGTCAGCTTTATCAATTATCTCCAGTCCATGAATTGGGACGATTCTGCCACATTCTGGAGGGAGCAGCTTGCAGGCGCGGTAGGCAGACACTTTCCCATCATGCCTTATACGGGCTACCAGCCGCACGCAGGCTCTCTGTTGGAACATTATACCAAGCTTCCCAAAAGTAACAGTTCGAGTACGACTCTCGCTGTTGCTATCAGAGCAGCGTGGGTCCTGGTTGCCGCTCGATATGCGTCCTGCGACGACCCAGTCTTCGGAGAGACTCTTACTGGACGCAATTCACCAGTCACCGGTATTGGCGAAATTGAAGGACCGCTTATTACAACGGTGCCGATGCGAGTTCATGTGGACTGGCAGGCTACTGTCTCTGAATATGTGCAAGCCATCCATGAGCAGATAACAATGCGTATCCCTCACGAGCATATGGGTCTCCAACACATCAGAAAGGTCAGTCCAGATGCGCTCACAGCTTGTGAGCTTAAGACAGGGATTGTGTTGCATCCCAAAGCAGAGGACGTTCAGATCGACCTTGACCAGAGTCCCGCGTACGGGTTCGTACCTGTCGATGATCTTGAAGCAGCACGCGAGGCATTGAAGTTCAATTCTTACGCGCTGATGTTGGTCTGTTCACTGGACTCCAGCGGCTTCTTGACCATGGCCAGCTTTGACTCAAAAACTGTCGATCTGTCTCAGATGCAGCAAATCTTGAGCGAGTTTGGGCACACCGTCCAAGAACTCTGCGAAGGGAGGGAGCGACCATTATCGAGTCTCGCAATCTTCCAATCACGAAAACGACAAGACCAAATCCCAATCACTGGTTTGGCCCTCCATGAGGTAGCCAAATCCGAATTTTCTGAATTAATAAAAGCTCCAGAAGCAGTGAAAGGGCTGTGGATCGTGGACACAAAGTCTCCTTCTCGCCTCTTGCCAACAGGTGCCGTGGGAGAAGTATTAATTGAAACTTCGTCGCAGCTGTCGGCTCCTGCCATCGCATCGCCAGCTTGGTTCGCTGAAGCAAATGCCGGGGATTCACATGGGCAGACCTGCCTCTACAGCACCGGACTGCTCGCAAAGTCTCAGAGTGACGGATCTCTCGTCTTTCTAGGGAAGAAAGACAGCACACATGAGTCTCTCCCGCCGACACAAACCGACGCCAACGCTGTTGGAAAGCAAGAACCTCGATTGACGCCACGGCTCGATCAGTTGCGTGGCCTGTGGAGCAGGATCCTTGGTGTTCCAGAGGCTGAAATTACCTCCAACAGCAGCTTCTTTGCGCTCGGCGGTGACTCGATCGGGGTCATGAAACTGGTTTCTGAGGCACGGATGGAGTGTCTCGAGCTGAAGGTGGCAGATGTATTTGACCATCGCCACCTAGACGAAATGGCCGAGATCATGAAGGTGATCCATTCGACCACAAAGGCTGACATACTCGACTCGGCGCCCTTCTCAGCATTGGAAGTCGAAAATCCAGAGGCCTTCGTCTCCAACATGGTGAAGCCACTGCTCGCTCGACAGGACTGGGAGATTACGGATGTCCTACCAGCTAGACCTCTCCAAGAAATTGCGGTAGGAGGCACCATCAAACTGCCACGCTATTCGGCGCGGTACGAGCTCCTCTACTTTCAGAGCGCGGTCAATCGTGGTCGCTTGTTCAAAGCCGCCCAGGATCTGGTGGCCCGTAACGAGATCTTGAGGACCGTGTTTGTCCGACTTCATGGAGAGTACTGTGCCGTGGTGCTCAAGAGTCTCCAAGTGGAAATCGTCGAGCACGAGATCAACGGTGACGTGGAAGAATTTTCGCGGAAGCTGTGCGATCTTGATATCCAAGTGAAAATGCCGTTGGGCGGAGCCTTTGTCAAATTTTTCTTCGTTCAGTCGGAAAATGGCAAAGGTGCCTTGATTCTGAAGATCTCACACGCTCAGTATGATGAGATTTGCCTGCCGAACTTGCTGCATCAACTGGCGGCACTGTATGAAGAGAGGGTGGTTCAGGAGACCGTGCCCTTCTCGTCATACGTGTATCACGTTATCAAAGAAAATGTTCCCCAGGGCATTCAGTATTGGCGTGAGTTGCTCAAAGGATCTTCAATGACCACACTGCGGCCGGAGTTGCCTCGTCGTTCCGATAAGATTACTTCGCTCACGAAAGCTGTGGATATCTCCAGCCGCAACAAGGAGACGACCATCGCCACACTCCCTGTGGCCGCATGGGCGCTCACTCTAGCTCGTCGACTGGCGATCCGTGACATCACGTTCGGCGAAGTCGTTAGCGGTCGCAACATAGGCTTCCCCAACTGCGACATGGTCGTGGGCCCGACGTGGCAGTATGTCCCCGTCCGAATCCAGTTCGCCGAGACGTGGACCACGGTAGATTTGCTGCGGTATGTGCAACAGCTCCACATCACGAGCAGTCGGTTCGAAGGTATCGGCTTGAAAGAGATCGTGGAGCACTGCACCGACTGGCCTTCTTCAGTGGACTGGTTCGACTCGGTCGTTCATCAGGATGTCGCACACGTAACCGACCTGTCGTTCTCGTCTACCCCCTGTCGTCTCGAGACCATCTACCCACATCTTGAGCCCTTGAGAGAATGGAAGGTCCAGGCATTCCTGGAGGGCAATACGATGACTTTGGAAATTGTCACATTCGAAGATTGGTGTGAATTTGCGACGGCATTGCTGGACGACCTGGTGGCGAGTATGAATCAGTTGGTCCAAAGTCCAACATCATTGCTGTTTTGAATTGCTTTTGTCCAAGGAATGCTCCATCTTTCGGGATTTGTGGGAATGGCCAATTAGTAAGATCAGAGGAGGAGGTAATTGAAGGGCATGGAGGCGTTGATAAGGGGACAAAACATGACCACACCAAAAACACGGGCCGAAATAATTACTAGGCATCCAATCAATCACCTTATTGCAAAAGACCTAGTGGTTCGATGTCAGTAGCGCGCGCGTGCTTTCGTGTATCATTTTTGTTTGGAGACAGCATCGTTGTGAACCCCTGAATCCTGTTATGAATCTCCAGAGAAATCTCCATGGTGTTGGCGAAGTTTAGCTCGGTCGACACGCGCGGATTCGGTCCACGCGTTCGAGCTTTTCCGGATCCAGAAAAGGCAGCTTGCACCACCGTCATGCCGGCGGCGGCGGTGTTTAAAGGGCAACATTGCATGGCAGGGTGAAGGGGTGTCAGCTTAAGTGATTGATTCGTTGATGACGTCTAAAGCAATGAGCTACTACGTCAGGTAGCCAATGTACGGAGTACATGTGCCAAGACTTGGCCCAATACTAGCTTAAGTAGTACTAGTGCGCTCGCAAGTGTTTGAAGTAAAAGCAGCAAGATGGCATATTTGCCAGTTTGCCGCGATTCCTGGGATGGCCTCACGCCGCTTTCTTCCACTCTGGAAATTCGATGCATCACGCCTGCCACAGCGCCCTACAGCGGAAAGGCTCACGACATTCGAGACGACGTTCTTCTTATGACCTTATGATGCATCTCCCTTCTATCCATTAGTATACAATACCGTCGGCCCCGTCGATGAGATTTACGATAACCTGGTCAAAATACCGCGAGCTGCCTGACCTACTAACTTGCTTCTCTTTATGGCACTTGTAAATGTATTTCGTATATATATGCCCCACCGGAAGAGGCAGCCTCGTCTGCTCATCGAGAGAGTTCATCCACTGGTAGTCGTCTTCTGTATTTAGAGCCTTGCTGACCACAGTCTCGTGCTGCAATGATACTCCGCCCATTTATGTCTACAATTGAGGGCAAAGTAGCTCCCGAGAGTATATTACGGAAGAGCACGATGATATGACTGTAGCAGCTTCACCACCTCCTCATCCCCCCTCCAAACCGCGAACGGGAGCACCGCGTCACCGTTATAATCCTTTGCTTCAAGGTCAGCGCCCTTATCGAGTAGCAGCTTGGCTATCATCTCATGCCCATATGTAGCCGCACATAATAGTGACGTTCGACCGCACTCATCTCTCGACTCTAGGTCAGCGCCCTTATCGAGTAGTAGCCTGGCTACCATCTCATGCCCATTTTTAGCAGCCAATGTCAGCGGTGTCTGGCCATTGTCGTCGGTGGTCTCGATGTTGAGATTGCCCGAAGCAAAGAAGAGTGCCAAAAGTATATCATCGCCATGTTTTGCTATGTAAGTGAGAGGGCCACTTCGTTGTGAGAAAAAGAAGTCGCGTCCAAGGTTGATTCTGTTGCTTCTATCCCGATAATACTGTTCGCACAGATGACGGAACGGAGCCGTTGTGGGGTGAGTATCTGCCTGGACTTCCAGTAACGCGTGCACCGCTTCATTGCTTCCAGTCGCTAAGGCAGCGAAAATGGGTGGCCCGTAGCCTTCGTCTTCCACATCGAAGCAAGACGGGTTAGGTGGGTGAATTCTAATCAGACTGGACAAGTTGCGCTCCGCCAAGATATACAGGAGGCTCACGTTCGGAGTGTATCGGCGTACTTCGTGTTTTTCGAATAGGTTCTCCATTCATACCCATTTGGCAAGCTGGAATGTGCGAACGAAGTCACTCTGGTCGACTCCGCTAGCTTGCGCCTTATCGGTGTGGTATAAGATGTTTCGTACGGCGTAGTCTAGGAATGGAAAGTTGTCGCCCGTAGATTGGCGGAGGAGTACAGCTTCGGGGGTTGATGTCTTCGGAAGTGGACTGCTAATGTTCCCTAGATGGGGAGCCATGTTAATACTGATGTAATTTAGACAGTAACGCTGTAGGCGCTGGTGGCTTTCTCCCTCGAAGTTGCTTTTGTCGCAGAGATCCGGCCATAGATCATACAGACCCTTGTCCTTGATGAGAAAATCTCGCACTGATTCGTGAATGAACTGTACAGTCGGGGTCTCTGACCTAGTAAATTCAGCGAGACCTTTAGAGGCATTAAGGGCGAACCGGTTCATGTCGTCTATGGTGATGTCCTCGCAGTTCCAGGCGGTTAAATACTTAGATTCTGGATCGAGGCCGGCTAACATCGTAAAATAGAACTCTTCTCGACGCAGCGGCTGTCTGGCAAACAGTATCCATTGGAGGCAGAGCAATAGGTCGTTCATGTTGACGGTGTCCTTCGTCAAAATCTCTTTAAAGAGCTTACTGAGTTCAGTAGGGATCTCCTAAAGCTTTTTCTTCACCGCAAAAATACGGCCGCGCCGATATTCTTCGTTTAGAATCGGAACAACTAAAACCGCCCACATGAAAACACCATTTGCCTTTTCTTGTATCTACGCTCTGACTTCCTCGAGAACTTTACCTTTTCCAGCTCGGAGATGACTTTAGACATATTTTTCCAGGTCCTCAGCATGGCCGTCTTGATCTTCCAACGTTAGCTGCCGACCACTCCGAATTTCGATTGTCGGGTAGTGGCGGCTCGCGAAGCAGACATGGAGCTGAGTTCCGTGGTTGATCGCGGTTTAACTGAGTTTTCCGAAAAAGTCAATCATTTCTCGAACCTGCTGCTCGTCACACTCATCGAGGGCGTCGATGAAGCACTTTAATCGTCGGTGCCCGAGGCGTGCGGTGGCTGCGGACAGAAGTTCACACAGCATTTCCACTGTCCACACCGCAGATTGGCTCTAATCCGTAGTATTATCTAAGGTGTCCAGCAACTTCTGTAGGTCCGTCATCTTTGTTAGGAGCTGAAATAACAGAGCTCGGTACATGCCAACCGTCGATTTTTCTTGCTCGTCTCCTCTAGCGTTGAAGAAGAAGGACAGGAGAATCTCATTCTCAGGTCATGCTTTGTCAGCGCGCGCGAGAGCAAACTTCACTTATCTCAGATGGATCAGCCTGCGGTTGACAGGTGCTAGCGCACTAAGTTAACGCGCTAACGCGCGTTAACTAATCAAAAAGTTGGGCTAACTTTTCTACTAAATGAGTCTAAGTACGGATATATAAAAAGGCGGGTTCGTAGCGTTCGTACTATAACATTTAAATTACTATTACTAAAATTAGTGTAATAAGCCGTAATTACTAAAATAGTACTATTCTACTTTTATAGATTATACTTTTATAGATCTAGGGAGACTTAGATCTATAAAAGTAGAATAACGCTATATAAATCCTAATATTATATTACGAGATGTGTGATGGGTTGAACCCAGAAGGAGGCTCGGTTCTGACGAACCAGCGCCAAGACTAACGACAGGACTAACGCCACCTCCTGATTGGCTAAATTTGCCTGTACATTGTACAGGCAAAAGGGCAGCTTCCTGATTGGACGAGGCACGTACCGTGCAAGGGATACCGAATCCTGGCAAGCTGAGACACCGTACGCAAGGGAAGGTAAGGAAGAGAGACAAAAGGCAAGGGAAACGTAAGGCGTGTACGAAAGAGGAAGGACAAGGGAGAAAGGGGAAGACATTGAGTATCCCTTGCGGAGGAGCGTACGATATAAGGAGAGAAGGAGGGGACATTATTCCTCCTTCTCTCTCCTCAGATTTATCCTCCTT